CGGATACAGATCCTGAATTATCAGTTGCATTGACAGCACCCCATGTTACATTCGAGCAGGAGGCTCCATCGTCTGTGTTCTGCAATATATCAGCTGGACAAATGACAACAGGACTCTCAGCGTCTGTGTATAGAAAGGAAATAATATGCATGGTCATCTCGAAAAATAACTTCCTATTTCATTTAAAAAATCACCTGATCGCTAGGGTACATTCTTTTGTTGGTTTAATAAATAAATAAAATCTTGTTTATCAATTTATATATCAATTATATCAACACTTTTTTCAATTTTGCAATATATCAGCTGGACAAATCACGACAGGACTCTCAGAGTCTGTGTACAGAAACAGAATAATGTGCATGGTCATCTTGAACGACAACTTTCTATTTCTTTCAAAAATCACCTGATCTCCAGAGCACAATGTCTATAAATTTATATATAAATTATATTAACACTTCACTACAGTTTATAAATTTTTTGTGATAACTGTTTGTCAATGAATATAATAATACTCACCAATGACGGTTACACTAAAGGAACAGTATCCTGTGTTGTTGTATGCATCGACAGCAAAATACGTAACAATTGTACTTCCAATAGGAAAATTGCTGCCTGGGGCATGAGACAAATACAGATCGATATCTGATCCTGAATTATCAGTTGCATTGGTAAAATCCCATGATACACTCGCCCATGAAGCTCCTGGGTCTGTGTTCTGCCATATATCAGCTGGACAAATGACGACAGGACTCTTAGCGTCTGTGTACAGAAACAGAATGAGCATGGTCATCTTGAAAGACAACTTTGTATTTCATTTCAAAAGTCACCTCATCGCAAGAGTACATAATCTTGTTGGAAAATAAACTAATAAATAAAAAAAATGAATTCGTGTCTATCAATTTATATGTAAATTAGATCAACACTTTACAACCTTTTACGAATTTTCCTGATATTTGTTCGGCAATAAATACAATAATACTCACCAATGACGCTTACAATAAAGGAACAGTACCCAGTGTTGTTGTATGCATCGACAGCAGAATACGTAACAATTGTACTTCCGATAGGAAAATTACTGCTTGGATCATGAGACACATATAGATCGGATACAGATCCTGAATTATCAGTTGCATTGACAGCACCCCATGTTACATTCGCCCAGGAAGCTCCATCGTCTGTGTTCTGCATATATCAGCTGGACAAATGACAACAGGACTCTCAGCGTCTGTGTATAGAAAGGAAATAATATGCATGGTCATCTTGAAAGACACTTCCTATTTCATTTAAAAAATCACCTGATCGCTTGAGTACATTACTTTGTTTGTTAATAAAGAAATAAATTCTTGTTTATATCAATTATATCAACACTTTACTATCTTTTACAAATTTTCTGATAATTGTTCCGCAATAAATATAATTATACTCACCAATGACGGTTACAATAAAGTAACAGTACCCTGTGTTGTTGTATGCATCGACAGCAGAATACATAACATCTGTACTTCCGATAGAGAAATGGCTGCCTGGGTCATGAGACACATACAGATCGATATCTGATCCTGAATTTTCAGTTGCATTGGCAGCATTCCATGTTACATTCGCCCAAGAAGCTCCAGGGTCTGTGTTCTGCGATATATTACCTGGACAATTCACAACAGGACTCTCAGCATCTGTGTACAGTAACAGAATAATGTGCATGGTCATAGTGAGTAAACAACTTTCTACTTCATTCAAAAATCACCTGAACTCCAGAGTACATATTCTGAATGGATAAATAAATGGATGAATAAAAAAATAAAATAAAATAAAAAAACTAGTAAATAAATAAGTAAATAAGGTGTGATTTTAACAAGATAACACAGATTGTAACTAAAAACATTACTCTAGGCATTGAGTTTCAATATTATAAATAAACACACATATTTTGCTATAGAGGCTTCAAGCATTTGTTTGGTTCCATTTGTATTTGGAACCGATAATACGCATGAAATTTGACAGGGATATGTTTCCTATACTGCAGCTTCTTGAAAAATCAAAATGATGGTTGTTGTACGTTTATATCAAGGCATTTACAAATCAGGGGTGATAACTCTCTTCGGTCCCCCATGGTTAAATCCAATGTTAAAAGATGGAAAACTATGGCATTGATTCATCTCGTTCTACTGTGCACTGGTTGGAGCAAGACACCATTCTAGAAAGTTAATACATATATTTCTGTATTTCTGTATTCCTTACATATTCCTGTATATGATTATATATATATGTTTCCTTTGCATGAATCAATTTCACTGGCTTTGTACAGGTATACACACACAGATCCCAGCATGCATTCTGATTACAAATTTCCTCATAATGCATGCATAATTAAGAAGTGATTCACATTTCATTTACTATACCTAACTGTCAAGGCCAATTTAATAAAACAATAATAAACTGATTATTTTTTATGTAGATACAAAAAACAATGCAAATGGCAGGTTAATTTTATTTCAAAGTAGCATATAAATCAATGTTTCAAAGTTCTAAAATGATGATAGATAATTCCAAAAAAGCACAAAGTAAGTATAAAGTAACCATGGTAACATGGAAAAAGAAAATGAGAATAAATTCCAGCTAAACGATACTATACAAAATTTACTCAAATGTATAAACATTCATTTACTAGCATTAATAAAAAAAAATACAATAATTAGTCTGTATCATGTATTGCATACGTAGGGTAATGTCTCCACATTGGCAGCGGGCTCATGTAAACAAAAGTTGTTATAACACATAAGAGCTAAACTTTCAAAGTGCTGCCGAATAACTTTACATCACCAATTAGGATATTCCAATTAAGACACAGAATAGCACCATTACCTCAAAATTAACATGGAAAAAGTGAGCAGAAATATACAATCCCAAAAAAAACTTCTTATATTACTTTAAACTCAGACAAAAAACTAATACTGGACTGATTTGAATTATACTAGCCCTAAACGTTATAGAATGGGCCCGGACTGGAAATGCAAGAACTTGCCTACATACATGAAAACGTGCATGGCTTTGAAATCTTATGTAAGCTAGCACTCTCCAAGCGAATAATTATTGAGAACAAATGTATTTTTTGGTTGGTACCATTTAATTTCAATACCCTGACTATGTGTTAATTCGTAAATTATGTGTGATGCGTAAATTCAGACCAATTCAACACATAATCAGAGTATTGAAATTAATGGTACTTTGGTTTATTACGTAACTGAACGACCTATGATGGACTTTAATATTGTATGAAGGCCAGGGTTCTGCCATGTGTATTTTTGGGTGGATACCATTTAAATTCAAGCAAGCAAGCTGTTTTTATTGCTGTTTTTTTATATTTTCCTGTCAAATGCATTTATTGCTCCTTTGAAAAATCAAAATAATGTTTCCCTGTAACTTAGACTCTTATTAATCGAGACATTTTTAAAATCACGGGTGTTAACTCCCCTCAAGTTATGACCCGTGGTCCCCCATGAATAATGATTGCATTTATAATTAAAATAAAGATGGCGGACTATAGCGTTGATTTATCTCGTTGTACTTAGAAAGTTAGTATCTATATGCCTGTGTGTTTTTTTTGTTTGTTTTGTTACTGTCTTTGACTTTCCAAATAATTTTGTTGCAATTTACAACAATTCGGTCTTTCGCAATGCTTCAATGTTTTCTTCACTACCTACTGTCACGAAGTGTTTGAATCATATCAGAAACTGTATTATATTATTATATTACACAAGATGTAATTTTGTATTTATGAATTCATTGTTGTAGTATAAAATGATAACAGTCTAGAGGTAGAATTTATAGCCCCGTAGGTATCCAC